TTTGAAACAAAAAAAAACTGCATTTATTGACATTATTAAGCGTATGTACCAGTGTTTTTAAATCAATTATTTTTAAATTTTCTAAACCATCTTGATAATTTTTCCTTTAAATCTTTTTCATAGATATACTGCCACAAATCCCAAAAATATTAATAATAATTTTTCTTAGTGTTTTTTAAAGTAAATTAAAGTAAATTAAACAAATACATTTTATTTTTATTTCAGCATTTTTTATTAAGTCATACCTAATTAAACAAATTTAAAAATGATTACAAAATAGTGCCGAGTTGCTAATATACGTAGGAAATAATAACGAAATTATATTGCTTAATTAAAATAATGTCAGGTCATCAACCACGTAATTTAAGTTTGGTTAAACTACGAAAAATTGTACAGATCTTCAATATTCAAAAAATTAGGTATGTAAAAGAGACTCCACTAAGCTATTTATTTGATATAATTTAAAATCCTTAAAAACAAAAAAGTTTTTCATTGTGCCTTTTGGGGAAGAAAGTGATGTGCCCCAAGCTTAAGAATTGTGGTAAGTGTACCAAAACATTTTAAAAATATTGTTAAAGTAATGAGGTGTGGTTAAGATTAAATAAATTATACAGGGTGTTATTGAAATACACGTACATATTAAAACTGGGTATTGCGCAGATCCCCACTGAATGTAGAAAAATATTATTTTTTAAAAATACCCCTTATTAAAGGAGTTATTAATTTTTGAAAATTAATTCTAAAACAAACGTACTTCACTGATATGTTGAGGATGACCTATATAAATTAGGTTTATTTACCTATTTTAAATATCAACAGTAATTAATATGCAAGTTTTTGTCAGATGATAAGAAAACTAGTCTTGTAAGAAATAACCATGTTGCCAAGATTTTCGAATTAATTTCTATTTCCGAAGACTGGTTTTTACTACCCTCGTTATCAAAAAACTAGAATATTTGATAAATGATTGTTTTTAAACTATACATTTTTGAAACTATAGATTATTAAAATTTTAGTTGATTTACGAATCTGGCTAACACGAGCGCGTCATTTCCAAGTTGGTAAAAAGTGTTGTTACGATTACTTTTAAATATTTTTTTACGATGCCACTATTTACGAATATTGAACTAACGGATATAGTGCTGGTTTATGGGGCAGCTGGAGAAAATTCTCGGCAAGCACAAATCCTGTATCGCGAACGGTTTCCAAATCGGAGAATTCCGGACTGTCGTACGTTTATTTCAACTGTTCAGCATCTAAGAGACCATGGAAAATTTGAGAGTGTCAATGCAAATCGAGGGAGAACAAGAACACAAAGAACATTGGCGGCCGAAGAAGAAATATTGGAAGCTGTTGAAAACCGGCCTCAATTAAGTTGTAGAAGACTAGGTCTTGAAATTGGAGTGTCCTCATTTGTTGTGTGGCGGACACTTAAAGAACAAGGTTTACATCCTTATCACATCCAAAAAGTCCAGGCCTTATATCCAGGTGATGAAGAAAAGAGAGTGGAGTTTTGTGAATGGATGATTCAAAAATGTGTTGATATTCCTGATTTTCTAAAAATATTATTGTATACTGACGAGGCTTCATTCACTCGTGATGGCGTGTTCAATATGCACAATACGCATATTTGGAGTGATGAAAATCCTCACGCCATTAGGGAAACTGGGCATCAAAGAAAATTTTCAATAAATGTTTGGGTTGGCATAATAGATCAGTATTTAATCGGGCCTTATGTTCTCCCGAACAGATTAAATGGGCCAGGATATCTCCACTTTTTAGAAGATATTTTGCCAGTACTCCTAGAAGAGATACCGTTACAATTAGGGCAACGGATGTGGTACCTACTAGATGGCGCTCCTCCTCACTTTGATTTAAACGTACGGCAGTTTTTGAACATTAGATTTCCTCAAAAGTGGATAGGCAGAAATGGACCTACTAAGTGGCCTCCGAGATCTCCGGACTTAAATCCATGCGATTTCTTTTTGTGGGGTCACATGAAACAACTGGTTTATAATGAACCTATTAATAGTGTTGAACAATTAACCAATAAAGTTAATGCGGTAGCCGAGGAACTACGACAAAATCCAAGACTAATTTCTAATGTTCAAAGTTCTTTGGAAAGACGATTGCAAGTGTGTGTAAATAATAATGGACGGCATTTTGAACAATTACTGTAATAAACTTTATTTTGAATTAATTGGTTTTGCTACGGCAACAGTGCAATTTTTATGGGTAAGTTCAATTTCGATTTATTTTACTTCTTTAAATATGGAAACTAGTAGGTCGGAAAAGGGGACTCTTCCCCAATATTTAAATTTTAGAATTTGAAGTTAAAATTGGTGCCAATCGTTTTTGGTCATTACATACTATTCCCCATTTTAATATGTACGTGTATTTCAATAACACCCTGTATATTTTTTTATATTTTGTATTTTCTTTCAAAAACGAAACTGGTACAAAAACACGACTTCGTGACATGGTGGAGGTACCTAGCTTCGTTCTTGAAAAATAATTCATGATAATTATTTTAATGTACCATTAATTTTTTTTATATTACGTCAATATTTTTTTTAATTAGTCAGAATAGTCAGCCACCCCTCATATGTAATAAATTTAAAGCTAAATAAAACGAGGTGAAGTATAATAACAATGGGTAGATGATCATAAATTAAATATTAAAAATAAAAACGTAAATTTAACAATTTATAAAATAAGAACATTTTTTTTCTGTTTGTTGCAGAAATACAGGGTTATCTAAATAAGTTGTTTCGAATAGTTATAAAATCAAATTTTTTTCCCAGATAAAATTAACATAAAAATGTTATTTAAGATATTTGTTAAATTTTTAGTTTCTATTTATAAAAAAAATGTCTATAAATAAAACCAAAACCCAAAAAATTTGTATTTCACTGAACTGAAATTAAATTAACATAAAAATGTTATTTAAGATATTTGTTAAATTTTTAATTTCTATTTATAAAAATAATGTCAATAAATAAGTCGATATGATCTTAAATCCAAAAAATGTATATTTTACTAAACTTTGTTCCAGCTGATGGTTTTGAAAAATCACATGTTTTACATTTTTACATTTTCCTTTTACATTTTTAATTTAATTTTATGTTCATTTCTTATTATTCATTTGTTAGTAATAGATTTCTTTACAGCAAATTCATATTTATTACCTGAGCAGGTCAGGAAAATCGCAACTATTTTTTTCCGTTTAACATGTAGTCAGGCAAAACGCTACCAAAGCCTACCAAATTTTTAGGTCACGCGAAACGGGAATATACCTTTAATTTTGACTTACTTCAGCTATTAATAAGATATTATGGAAAATACTACAAAAGTAATTCAATATTTTTCATATCTGAAAATCGGGAAATGTGATTTTTTCCTGTGTGGCAAATTAGGTATAAAAAATATGTTTATTATTTTTTCTGTTAAAGTTTGTGCACTAAAACCTAAATTACCCTCATTATTAAATATCTTTACCAATTTTTGATCTAGTATTCCTTAATTTCTAGTGCAAAATTTTAAACATCTTAAAGTTTATTATGTCGGAAGTCGAAGTGAGTTTTTTACGAAACTATAACAAAATAATAAACACATTCGATATGCCAAACGTGCCTGATATTTCATTGGTTTCTTTGAGCAACATAAAAATGATTCAACCTTCACACAACTTAAGGGGAAATACAAAACGTCAACAGGCGTTCTATTTATTTAACTTGGATTTTTTCCTTATTAATATGTTTTTGCCCAATCCAAATTTAAAAATATGTTATTATGTGCGAATAAATATTTTTGCATTAATATACAGGGTGTATAATTTTAATGGACATTTAACACAACATTGTAGGTATATTTATTGCGATCCACTGTAACCCAGCCAATTAATCACTGTGTGGCCCATAGGTAGGGCACAGTGATTCATTTGACACTTTTATTCTTCTTGAATCGTTTGTTTAAAATGTATTACATAATTTCAGATTTTGCTTCAAAATATGCTAGATTACACTTTGAAATAAAATTATAATAAAATATATTTTATTTATTAGCATAAATAATATAGATATGCCCAATCAAAAAAAAATTGATCAACTATACCCCCTTTCCCATATTGTTTTATTTTGTAATTTGATATGGCATCGTCAAGAAGAGTATGTGTGAATGATTCAAACAATTTTAGTTTCATTTGGGGATAGTATGTATTTAAAGAATACCGTTTAAATGTGACAACGTTCGTAAATGAGGCTTACAAAAATTACCCGCTGGAAATGAAAACATGCATTGAGTTCCTACGTTTATGGATAAATAAGAAAAGTCATAGCTTCAGGTACAAAACCGCTATGATTTAGAATAAACCCAGGAATCACAAGGATGATTGTTAACTTTGTTTGGTGAACATAACTGGTATTAACCGAAAAAATCGAGCCAAAAGGGAATATCCTTCCATACAATCGGCACATAGACGTGTCCTGAGCTTTAAGTCCATACCTGAACCTCAATCTGGTACTATACAGGAAGAGCAAGAAGATTTTGAGACTAAAAACGACAGTAGTGATAGTAATTTTGAATGCGTCCTGGGAACGCCAAAACCATTCAATCAAGATGATTTAGATGACTTAATTAGAGATCTGGGACTGTCAAAGTCAGCTTCAAAAATTTTGGCTTCAAGGTTAAAAGGCTTAATAAATTAATTATTGCAAAGCATATGGCATATGTGGAATTTGCCAAAACAGTTAGAACAATACATAAATAAAATCTAATAATAAAAGTAACATTTATACACAGATTTATTAAGATATGATTTTGGTTTTTTCTTACTTAAATATCTTTTAAATTCATTTGTGTAATATACCTCTCACACCCATAACTCCAGTGTTTCAAGAATGGAGATTAATTGACAGTGTCAAACTGCATCTCATGATGTCCATATGAATAAAATTAAAATATTGATCAAATTTTGCAATAATGATAATAAAACACAGGTATACTTAAAAATAATTTATTTGTCTAGATCACAGCGTATTAAATACAATTAAAGTTAAAATTAGGTATGAAAAATGTGTTTGTACTAATTTTAGTATAATATAATGTACAGAGTAAAAGAAAATTCTTAAATTTTTGATAATTTAGAATCTGGGACTTCAAAAATAAGTCTCAATCTGTTATTTGCCGTTTTTCTAATATTGGTTTTAATTCTATCTATCAATTCCTTTGAATCAATTTTGGGTTTAATTTGTTTAGTGTTATGTTGCATTTAAAAAAACCAAAATAACCAGTGCTTTAAGAAAAACAGTCAATTTGAAGAAAGTACAAATGCAATAGAGACATTTGGAAAATCTTTATATCCTAAGAGCAGGGGTTCCGGCACTTGGGCCTGGGAACTTTTTTACTGCGCATGCGCGGCCATAGCCACGAAGTTGGCTAACCTACATGTGTCATCTGTCAATGTGTCATCTGTCAATTCTTCTTCTTTTTTTTATTAGTTGTCAATTCTTCTTCTTTTCGCTGTCAGTTTTTGTTGGCTGTGGAACGCGGGAGAAAAAGGCCATCGGCTGCGGCGGCGGCGCCCTCTGGCGGTTGGATTAGAATTTGTCATCTGTCAGGTGTCTGTCATCATCTGTCAGCTGTCCGTGTGTGTGTCATACGGTCGATCCGTCAACTGCCCCGATGAGGATTTCGCCAATGAGCGGCGAACATAACCCCCAGTTTAAACGGTCGTTAGACAGCTGCCCGTGGCCCCGGGGCCCGCCACGAGGCGCGCGCCACGCGGAGTCGCACCGATGAACATAACCCCACTTTTAACGGTCGATCCGTCAATTGCCCCGATGAGGATTTCCGCCGCCGAGGTGAACATAACCCCCGCTTTGAACGATCGGCTGCCCGGGGGCCCGCCACGCGGAGACGCGCCGATGAACATGTTTTTGACGTTTGACGTTTACCGTTTGACGGTTAACGTTTGACGTTTCTGCTAGTATCAAGCGTCAAGGTTAACAGCTCAGATCTCCGAGAGGAGGCGAATCCTACACCCGACAATATTTTTTTAAAGTAAAATAAGTATCCCATGTTAAATCCCATAAGAAATCGCTAAGGTTCATTCTGGCAATTTTTGTCTAAAAGTCCAAAGGTCAATCGAAGTTCGAAGTCTGGGTTATCAGTAAACATGATAACGTCGAAAATCCAAGATGGCGGCAATAGTTGACGTAAACAATGAAAAATATACGAGGTAAATGAAAAGTCAGAAGGGCCTTAGCGTATATCTCAGCTATCGTTGGTCCGATTTAAACGGGAAAAATGATATTACGTAGAGAATGATGAACGTTGAATATAAAAATCATGCGCAATGCCACAAGGGCCTTAGCGTGTATCTTCACTGCTATTGGTCCGATTTAAACGGGAAAAACGACATTATGAAAAGAACGATTAACGTAGAAGAGAAAAATATTGTGCAATGTCAAAAGGGCCTTAGCACGTATATTCACTGCTATTGATCCAATTCAAACGGGAAAAACGGCATTAAGTAGAGATCGTGGTATAGATTAACGTTGAAGAGAAAAATCATGCGCAGAACGAAAGGCCACAAGGGCCTTAGCAAATATCTCAGCTATCGTTGGTCTGATTTAAACAGGAAAAACGACATTACGTAAAGAATGATGAACATTAAACAGAAAACTCATGTGTAAAGCCAGAAGGGCCTTAGCGTATATCACGTGGTCCGATTTAAGCGGGAAAAACGGCATTACGTAGAGAATGATTAACGTAGAAGAGAATTTTTATGTAAAGCCAGAAAGGCCTTAGCGATTCAAACGGCTACGTGTAGAGAATGACATCTAGTTGTCATTTCGCACATGCGCAGTTCATAATGCCGTTTTCATATCTTTGTTAATATCGATCGGATTTGAACGTTGAAAATGGTAGATGACAATGTCATCTAGATGGCATGTGCACATGCGCAGTTCAAGGGTTAGTTCTCGCTTGTCACTTTATATCTTCGTTAATATCCCATCAGATGTCTTGAACTAACCATATACAAGATGGCGGAGTCAAAAGGACCTGTCAACTGTCAAGGTTCATTGCTATTGGTCGGAAAGGAATGTGGAAACAAACAGTTGATGTATTCGTTTCGTTTCGTTTCGTTTCGTTACGTTTCGTTACGTTTCATTACGTTTCGTTACGTTTCGTTACGTTTCGTTACGTTTCGGTTACGTTTCGTCACACTTCGTCACGTTTCGTCACGTTTCGATACATTTCGTTACGTTTCGTTTCGTGGACAAAAGGACCTAAGTCTCGGTGGCATGTCACCAGGTGCAAAATGGTCAAAAGGATCTTAGGTAGACAAACGGATAGACAGACAAAAATACAGATAAAAGGACAGGCAGACGGAAAGAGGAGACAAATATCTCCTTAAAATTTATTGATACGAGGATCCAAAAAGACCTAAACATTGAATAATACTTAGAAATCATGTAGAGAACAGTACAGGCCTAAGAACAAAAAACTACTGAAGAAGAAGATGAAGAGTGAAACGTTGAAAGGTTGATATCCGTAGAAATTTATAGAAAAAAGAATGGAAAATCGTAGAAATCTTTAAAGAATACACGCTGCTGCATTACCAAAGGGGCCATAGTTGGTTAGTACAGAAAATGTAATAACCAAGGAGCCTTTACCTTTCTGGATCAATGAATACGGGAAGGTAGCAGTCAAAAGTTCAGTATTTGAGAACAGGTCTAAGAAGTCGTATTGTTCGTATTGTAGTCATACATTATCGTCGTTTCCTTATTACTTACAAGTACAATAAAAATACTCTACGTCCATTGTCGATGGTAAAAAGGTAACAAAATACTCTTCGTCCATTATCGTATGTAAACCTGCGCAGTACGTTATTGTCGTGTCATCGTCTTAATCTTTATTAAAAATAAATACAACAATTACAATATACCATCTTCGTTTGTACTCGATTATTTTCGCATTTAAGATTAACAACCTGGAAAATCATCTGTTAAACATTTATTATTACTGTCTATTTTTTTTTCAAGCTATCAACCTAAAAAATATCGCAGCTATCCAACCATTGTCATCTCTACCAGGTTTTCGTATGTCTATTCAATATTCTTTTTAACCTAAAAATATGGCATCTGTCATCTGTCACTATTAAAAAACGTTTGTACTCACTTTTTTTCGTATATTATTATTTAGTTTCAGTATTTTTGCATCATCTTCTGTCTCGTATGACTCGTTAAATCCAATAAAAAGACCTCATTTATTTTCATAAAGTAATTATTATTGATTGCTTTTATATTTAGCATTTCTGTCCTAAAAATATGACATCAGGCATCCGTCATTATTAAAAACGTTTGTACTCACTTTTTCCGTATATATTTTATTGTTTAATTTCGGTTTTACATCTTAAAAATTATGGCTTCTGTCATTAAAAACCAATAAAAAGATCCCATTCTTAGACATCATCTCTATACCGAAGGTATTTCTTAATTAGAAAGCAATTATCGATTGCTTTTATATTTAGCATTTCTGCCCTAAAAATATGTAATCTGTCATCCGCTACTATTAAAAACGTTTTGTACTCACTTTTTCATATATTATTGTTTAGTTTCAGTATTTTTGCAGCATCTTGTGTCCCGTATGACACGTTAAATCCAGTAAAAATACCCCATTCATTTTCAGAAAGTAATTATTGATTGCTTTTATATTTAGTATTTCTATACATTTCGACCCTAAAAAATATGACATCTGTCAGCCGTCACTATTAAAAACTTTTGTAACTCACTTTTTTCCTCATTATTGGCATTTTCTTGTTTAATTTCGATTTACATCTTCTGTCTTAAAAATATAACATCTGTTATTAAAAATCCAATAAAAAAGGGCCCATTTTTAGACAGCACCTCTGTGCCGAAGGTATTTCTTAATTAGAAAACTATTATCGATTGCTTTTATATTTAGCATTTGTATATATTTTTCGTTTTTCAACCTGAAAATATGACATCTATCATTAAATCCAATAATAAAAATATGATATCTGTCATTAAATCGAATAAAAAAGTACTACTTACATTTTTGTCCTAAAAATATGACATCTGTCATTCATCACTATTCAGTAAAGTTTTCATTTCATACATACTATTTAATAAATCCTTTTTATCACCAAAAATTATGTTAGAAATATCCATTTAATTATTTTGTATCGGTATTTGAAGTTTAGCTGTATATTTCGGTGTTACCATAAATTCTCCTCTGTCCTAAAAATATGCCATCCATCATCAATAAATACATTACCATTTAAAAAAAGTACAATCAAAGTTTAATTTCATACATACTCTTTTAATGGAACCAGTTTTAGTTAACAAAAATTATGTTAAAAATACGTAGTCGATCTAGGTATCTGGCTATTTGAGATTTTACACTCAGTTTTTCATTATTCACTAAGTAGTTAGGTGCAAAGAGACGACTAAAATTAAAATTTTCAACTACTTAGTTACAAACAAACTTACTTACATCTGAAAATAAAGGTTCAGTTCAGAATGAATTATAAATTTTCAAGGTGTTCGGTTTGTATAAAGATAAACGATATCATCGGTTATTTCCTGTCTACAAGTATAGATAACTCAAAATATTAAAACAATATTTTAGTGCTTAATGGTAGGCAACCATTAATACAATGTAAGAGCAAAAGGACATTAATCTTATTAATGGCCCATAGTTAAATGGAACAATCTCTACAATAAAAATTTCTAAAACTGTTTAATCAGTAATTTTCATAGAAAATTCATGATGGTTGTATATACCGAGGGAACAAGAAACACCAAACTATCAATATTATTACATCAATTAAATGGACCAAAAGTAATACTGTATATGTTATTTTCACCGGTAAATGTTTAATTGGTAAAAGAACATACTTGTTAATACCTAATAATAGACCGAAACCGTTAATTCGGTTTCAAAGGAATATTTATATTGTCACATTAGATTAATAACGCATCCACCAATGGTGTGACAGTATGCTCGTAGAGATGTTCACTGTACATTGAACAGATTCCAATTCGAGTACCATTCTCATGAGGCAAATAATATAGATATCTCGTTACAAAGTCTAGATGAGAGACAAGTTAGATATTATTGGACGGCGTTACGAAAAACAAATGGTATTATGTAGAATACGTGACGTAGAATAATATTAAAAAGAAAAATAATACAAAAACCAAAAGAACCTAAGTATTCACTATTATCGAATAGAATTAAACGAGAAAAAATTACATTGTAACGGAAACGAGCCGTAGATTAACGCTGAAGAGAAAAATTAGGCACATTAACTTTGAAGAGAA